TATAAAATGAACGAAGAGAGAAAGTGTGGAACTTTTATAGTGATAAAGTATTTATTACCTTTGTGATTGATGTAAATACCTCAAAAGAGGCACGTTTAGTTCACAATAGCGTGTTGGTGTCAACATTTATGTATGGAGAGAGTCAGGCGCGGCTGTGAATCACGTAAATAGGTAAATTAAAAATAAACAATGATAATGTGCCGTGATAATTTTGTTTTATGGGACAGAGGTACCCAAGCAATCGACTTTTGTACGACCTCTGTCCAATTCGTGTTTTTACCGAGAAGCAGTTGTGTTTGCATGGCTGTGTTTCGGTTTGAAGGGTGGGATATGGCGTGAATTTACTGGGTACAGAGGAATAACACCTGAGTCCTCAGGAATGGGAACGCATGGGGGGGTATCATGGGCGAAACAGTACAATCTGTTATGTCCACGGTACTGCTCATGTCCATAGGCGACGGTTACCACTTTCCATCAGGTGGGCCGTCAGCTTGTTTGCCATCCTAAGTTGTATAAAAAAAAAGGTGCCCAGGAAACGACTTTTGTACAAAGTCTCCCTCTGGTGTTTTCGGCGAGAGTAAAAGTTCAGAGTACATGAAACATGATCTGATAAGATTCACCATTCGACTAGCTCGGTCATTGAGAACAGTGTCGTAGATAGAGAAAAAAGTAATGCTTTTTCTATTTAATAACATAATGTTACCACAGACATCGATGCAAATAGATGACGCATTAATATATTGTTAACATGCTAATTATCCACTTTAAACAATTGAAATTAGGCATAGGAATATCGGTATTGCTCTGATATCTATATATTAGATTCCTTTGCATATTGAGGCCGGATAAAAGGTTATTACTCATTCCAATATCGGACTGGTATAACCAATATCGGAATGTTAATATGAGTGTTCTTAATTCCAGTATTATATAATATATTATATATATATATATATATATATATATATATATATATATATATATATATATATATATATATATATATATATATATATATATATATATATATATATATAAGTGTCATTTAATATAACAGTTATAAAATGAAATTTATTTGAAATTTATTTGCTCGAAACACTGTAGAAAAGGTGTTGCATTTGTAAAGTTTATATTAAGATTGTCCATTATGTTTCGCCACATCGAATGGCGTGCAAATATTAATTGTTGAATTTATCTACAGATAGGCCATTTTATACAGGTACATTATATATATAATTTTCAATTATTTACTACATTATACTATGAATCACTACTAGTACCAAGTGCACACTCTGGTCATGCATTATAACCAGTCAATAAATCTATTATAAATAATAAAAATGATAGAAATGTCAAACAAAATTAAAAATACAATTTAAATTTCAAACTAAGTCAATGTCACTATGTTATTAGGTTAATTAGCATCAGGTGGGCCGTCAGCTTGTTTGCCATTCTAAGTTGTATAAAAAAAAAACTTAAAAAAATAAAAAAAAAAAACAAATAAAAAAAAATGGAACAGTAATATTCCAATTCAATATTATTTGTGTCACGATTAAAATTGTAACTCATCTGCTACATCTATTCCAACTGTACGTCTGTGTCGAACCCCATCAGCGGTGTGTTTGTTACCATTTTTTCATCGGAAGCCTTACTAGGCCGCCTATTTATTCCATCGGGCGGTCCCTCACTGATCGTGCCCCATTGTGCCACTAATTAAGTACACTTTTTGTAGAGAACCACACCAATATAATCACAGCATTTTATTTATACCATTAATTACTGATATTGGTATTACAAAGTATTCTCTGACACGTTTAAACTACGTGATTGATTCTTTTTGACACAAAAAAAATGTTCTCTTAAACGACTTATTCGTTACCTTTCTTTTTTTTTACCACGAATGTGGCAAACAAGCATACAGCCAGTCTGGTAGTAAACGGTCACTGTAGCCTATAGACGCTTGTAACACTAGGGGTGTCACGTGCGCGTTGACAACCCTGGAGAGACCTTAATCTTTATTTATTTTACACTTTATTGCACCAAGTAAACAGAGAAATAACAAGTACAGTAAATATTAATGAGAAGTGATACAAATGGCGGCCTTATCGCTGAGCAATCTCTTCCAGACAACCTTTGGGTAGAGGACATTGAGTAAAAGACAAAGGATAGCTGGCACACTATTATATAAATATTGTCATATACATACATATATACATACATACATACACATACATATATAATATATACACAATCAAATATATACATAACATACACATACTTAACAGCACACATACAACAGAAAAAAAATGACGAAGGAAAACGAAGAGAGAACACAGGAAAATAGTACGTGAGAAAGTAGTAGAAGTAAAGTGAGAGGTAGTAGGATTTAACAGAGGTTTTGAAGCTAGTAAGAGTTTGAGCGCACCGAATAGGGGTAGGCAGAGAGTTCCACAGGCGAACTGCCTGAACAGTCAAGGATTTTTTTTTCGATGGGTGAAAATGGTATGGTAACCCCGCCTACGCTAACGGGATACGCTGGCGGAGCACCAGTGAAGGGTGATAGATGAGAATGAAAACAGGCCAGTTGGCCCATCATGATGAATTCATCAGGAATTAACCATGATGGTTTCCAGGGAGAGCCGCGAGGAGGTCGACCTGGTTGGGTATATTGCTAGCAATGGGATTCTCAGTCTCCATTACTAAAAATAAGTCAAGGATTTAGAATAATAGGAAGAAGAATGAGTGGGAAATATACCCTTTTTGAAGAACCCCATGCTGTAGTTTCTAGGGAAAACCTCGGCAAGGAGTTCATTCCACAGCCTGAGTGTTCGCGGGGGAACATTCCTTTGAAACCGCACTGTACGTGACCGTTTAGCTTCAAGCGTGTGAGGATGAACTCCCTGTCGATAGAGAGCACTGCGATGATAGAAGGTGGCTGTGGGATTCGTTTCAAACAATTCCCAAGAATACAATCCGATACCTTGTTAAACCTTGCTTATTATTAGTATTATTTCACCCGTTAACTGTCCACTGCTGGACATAAGCCTTCCCCATAAGGGGAGTTTCGCCATTAGTTGCCACGCTTGGCAGGTGGGTTGGCAACTGCAGTCAGGCATTTAGAGATGTTCTAAGAGGGACGCTACTGGTCATCCCTCGCCCTCCTTTAGTCGGCTCTTACGACACCCACGGGAAAGGTAGGAGCGACCCATTCTATGCCGGGGCACACATGGCGATTTTAGATTTTTACTACTATTAGACATCAGACGTAAGCTGTGTGGTCCTGACATAGAATGGGCCAAACCCTTTCTTTTCCATAATAGTGTCTAGAGGCCACAAAGAGAGCTTAATGTCCGAGGGATGGGCAGCAGCGACCCTTTTAAAATATTACCAAAGCCTAACTACGGTTGCCAACCTACCTGCCAAGCGTTACAACTACTCAAAATCAGCGCTGTATAGGTACATCTCGCTGGAGGTGTGCATGTTTAGCAACAGGTGAGGCGGCTTCAGCAACCAGAATTTTTTTTTCTTTTTCATTCTTGTTTTTTAACAATTATCGTTGGTACTATACTCTCTCTCTACTCTGTACTCTCGACTCTATCTACTGGTAATACGCTCCTTTATAAGGGAGTCCTATGTCCAGCAGTGGACTGTTAACAGCTAATATTATGACAACGGTACCTAAGTACAAAAAGCTGGAGGGGGGAAAGTGATTGTTAGTAATGGGGTCTAACTGAACCATTGCTAGCAATACACCCTGTCAGGTCGACCTCCACGCGGTTCTCCCTGAAAACCATCGAGGTTAATTCTAGTGGAATTCATCACAATGGGCTAAACTGACCCGCTTTCATCCTCATCTGTCATCTATCATTGGTGCCCCGCCAGCGTACATCGATAGCGCGGGCGGGGTTACCATTCCATTATCACCCAATAAAAAAAAAAGTACAAAAAACTTATCCTGAAGACATGTGGAAATATTACAAAAATAAGGCAAACCTTTTAAGTACTTATATATTAAATTTTTAGCAATCACTGCGCGATCGATTTACGATAGATCGCCTATTATGTTTCTACCGTGAATTTACAGGGTACAGAGGAATAACACCTAAGTGCTGGGGGGAAAGGAATTGTTAGTAATGGAGACTGAGAATCCTATTGCTAGCAATATACCCAACAAGGTCGAACTCCTCGCGGTTCTCCTTGGAAACTATCATGGTTAGTTCCTGATTTCCTGCTTTCCTTCTCTTGCTTGCTTCCGTGACCTGCTTTCATCCTCATCAGTCATCTATCACTGGTGCCCGCCAGCGTATACCGATAGCGTAGACGGGGTTACCATACCATTATCACCTATAAAAAAAAACATAAGCCATGTTCAATGGCGAACAATTTACGGCTGATAGGATGTTTTTTTTTATGGGTGAAAATGGTATGGTAACCCCGCCTGCGCTAACGGTATACGCTGCCGGAGCTCCAGTGAGGGGTGATAGATGAGAATGAAAACAGGCCTGTTAGCCCATCATGATGAATTCATCAGGAATTAACCATGATAATTTCCAGGGGGAACCGCAAGGAGGTCGACCTGGTTGAGTATATTGCTAGCAATGGGATTCTCAGTCTCCATTACTAACAATCCCTTTCCCTCCTGCTGATAGGATGTTAATTGTCTATTTTTATATGTAAGGTCCAATAAAGATTGCACCATGCATTGACAAATGTAAACCAGTTATAATTTCGAATAAGATCTGCTTTAATACAACACACAAAAAAATATCAAATAATCACCGTCCAGTCGAGTTCGATAAAAAATAGTTTTAAAACAACACTGTCTTACGGTTTAAAATTGTTTGGCATACAGCTGGCCGGTAATAAAAAGAAGTCAAAATTTTGAACTACATTAAATCAACCAGTTTTACTAGAGCCCCCGTACCCCCCTCATTCCTTGCGGATTGTCCACTGCAAGCGAACGACATCGCGTTATCGGGGGTCCAGGCGTAATGGCCGCTCGTATAGAAAAAAAGGCATGCATAGTACACTTTTAACGCTACGTTCTAACAAATTGAGCAGTCACAAGTTCGAAACGGGAGCTCTTAAACGCGTTCCTAAAAATCAAAATTTAAAATTCGAACATGAAAATGGCGCGAAACGTTTCGACTTTTTTCTTTTTCGTCTACGGTCTGACACTAGTGGTGCGCGCTGAGAACGAATTAAAAGAAATGGACGCGGCCGGTATCATGAACGCCGTTGAACAAACGCTCGATTTAAAATATAATGAGTATGCCGGTTATTTAACTAATTGCTTGGAAACATTCAATGATAACCTATTGAAGGACAGTGAAGTTGGCAGGATGCTGCACTATGAGGAACTTAAGTCTAAAGTTGACAATATTGGCAAAAGTAAGTGTTTAAAAATCATAATATTTTATCTTAAATTTCAATAGATGTGAATGATATTGAATCCAATACGTGTTTCAACCGTGAAGCAGTTGTGTTTGCATGGCTGTGTTTCGGTTTGAAGGGTGGGATATAGCGTGAATTTACACGGTACAGAGTAATAACACCTGAGTCCTCAGGAATGGCAACGCATGGGGGGTATCATGGGCGAATCAGTATACTCTGTTATATCCATGGTACTGCTCATGTCTATAGGCGAGTGTTACCACTTTCCATCAGGTGGGCCGTCAGCTTGTTTGCCATTCTAAGTTGTATAAAAAAAAATTATAGGGTAACCAAATTGTAATATTTTATGTATTTGAGGAGTTAAGGAGTTAAGGGGCCGCCTGAAAATCAGCGCTATATAGGCACATCTCGCTGGAGCTGTACATATGTAGCAACAGCTGAGGCGGCTCCTATTACCAGCAACATTAATTGTTCTTTTTTTTTTCTTTTTAATGTTTTATTTTTTTATTTTCTTAATACTGGTAATAAAGGTTATCTATCTATATATCAAATTTTATTAAAATTATCAGAAAACTAAGACAGTGTAATCTACCAACAAATTAAAACGTTCAATCTTTTTTTTTTATTTTTTATTTTGTACTACTCTTAGATTGTATAGAGAATTGAGTCTCAAAAAACGGGTCAACATTTTGTCAGCTAATTGTCAAATTAGCTGACTCGTTGTTTTTATCAGTGTTCTATATACTTACGTACACAATATATCTTGACGTATTGTTTAAATAAATAAAATGAGTGTTTACGCATTGTAAAGGTGCAGAATTTATAAGACAAAATAAATTTAGAAGTTGTAGAGGAATCACTCGTAACTATTTATCACGCAAAATTGTATGAAAAAGTTGACACGTTTTTCTCGAAGTATTTGTATGGGGACACTCTATCTATATAATTTAAGGCTATAATAAAAAAAAAAGTAATTAAAAATGTCTACAATAATGTAAAATATGATTTTATCTTTCTGTCTACCCGTGGATTACTGGAGCGAATCGCTAATATTAAATTATTAACTATCGTCGTCCTCCGTATCGCAGCGGTCAACACGCCTGCCTGCGACGTGGAGGCCCCGGGTTCGATCTCCGGCCAGGTCATGATGGAAAACGATCTTTTCCTGATTGGCCTGGGTCTTGCATGATGTCTATATATGTATCTATTATAAATATAGTACCGTTGAGTTAGTATCTCATAACATAAGTCTCGAACTTACTTTGGGGCTAGCTCAATCTGTGTGATTTGTCCGTATATATTTATTTATTTATTTATTAATCCTAGCTTAGCGATCCGACCCGGCTTCGCTCGAGTAGACAGAATTTTCAAAAATCAATGCATACAATGAAAAAAATTATCCGCGGTGATGCCCGCTCCTAACTATGTAATTCCCGTATATCATTCCCATTGGAACTCCCCACGAGTCCGGTCTTATATTGTATTATATACTTAAACGATAATTACGTACCTAATACCTTCGTAAAGTTACAACCAATTCAACTGATCGGTTATTTTATAGCATTTTATATGTGACTCTTTAGATTGATATAACTTTTTTATTTATGAACCGATTGAAATAAAACAAACACTAAATGTTAAGTGGAGTAAACCGCAACACATTAGTGGAAACCGCATTCAAATCGGTTAAGCGATTTCTGAGACTAGCGTGCACAAACGTACGGACAAACAAATAAACATTCTAAAAATCATTGTGTTTGGTTTTGTTATTAATACGCCCATAGAATTTACTATAATTTGCTCATAAAAAATAAAAAAAATGCATCAATGTATAAGTATTATCGTCACCAGAGGGAGACTTTGTACAAAAGTCGATTGCTTGGGTAACTCTGTCCCATTCGTGTTTCTACCGTGAATCAATTGTGTTTGCATGGCTGTGTTTCGGTTTAAAGGGTGAATTTCTGGCAGTGAATTTACTGGATACAGAGGAATAATACCTGAGTCCTCAGGAATGGCAACGCATGGGGGGTATCACGGGCGAAACAGTATACTCTGTTATGTCCATGGCACTGCTCATGTCTATAGGCGACGGTTACCACTTTTTTGCCATTCTAAGTTGTATAAAAAAAAGGTTGTCTATCCGAATACAGAACCGGAGTACGAAACCCGTCCCAGTGCAGAAAGGTGTAAAACAGGGCGATGTCGTATCCCCAAAACTTCACAGCTGCATTGGAAGATCTTTCCAAACTCCTGGAGTGGAAAATATATGGGGCATTTTACTAGTACCAAGTGTGTAGTTGCCAAGCGTGGCAAACGCTTGGCAGGCGGGCTGAAAACCGCAGTCAGGCCTTTGGTGATGTTTTAAGAGATTCCCTCGCCCGTTAAGTTCCCCTAGTCGCCTCTTGCGACACCCACGGGAAAGAAAGAGGTGGCCTATTCTATGTCTGAGCTCCCGCGACGTGTAATAAGTATTTATTTGTTAATTTATGGCTTTTTTTCATCCTACTTCAAAAAGAACTAAGTTCTAAATTCAGATGTATTTTTTTTTATGTTTGTCATCTCATAACTCCGTCAATTGTGGACCGATTTGGAAAATTCTTTTATCATCTGAAAGTACACACTTACAAATTGATCCTATAGAAGTTTTCTCAAAATCGATTCAGTAATGTAAATTTTAGATCAAAATAACTGGTTTCGTCAGAACTGAAGTTAGTTTTGTTGTGGGACACAATTTTTAATTATAAATCAAAATTAATGATATTCCAACGATAGAAGTCTTATTTGTATCATAGAGTTCTTTTGTTTATGGTATTAATACTACATTATTACCTTTTTTAATCCATTTTATAACTTCAAAGTTAAATATTTACTGTTGTAGTTATAAATAGATAGATAGATACTCTTTATTGTTTCCTCCAAAAGATTACAATAGTAAACTTATTATAAATATAAATAATTACAAGAAATAATCACAGTGAGAAAACAATGGGCGACCTTATCGCTAAGAGCGATCTCTTGCAGGCAACCTTTGGATAGAGAGGAGTAATTATAAACACTTTGATGGGAGGCACGATGAAAAATTTTGTTAGTTCTAAATATGGGAGATGTGATACATATAATAATATAAAAATTATCCCGTTACTTATTATTACGTTATAATATAACGTAATCCGATAGACTTGCCGCTCATTATTATAACCGTTACTTCCCAGTTCCACTACCAGGGGGCATGTCACGAGACTTGTAAAAAGTTGACAGGTTCGGGTCACGTGAACGCAGACCGGCCTGTTTTGTCTATGCCTTCCCTTGCCAATTTGCAACTTTTGTTTTTTTTTTTATTTTTTTTTTTGTAATTTCAACCAAATAAATATTCATTGCCGGGGGAAGGGGATTGTTAGTAATGGAGACTGAGGATCCCATTGCTAGCAATATACCTAACCAGGTCGACCTCCTCGCGGTTCCCCCTGGAAACTATCATGGTTAATTCCTGATGAATTCATCATGATGGGTTAACTGGCCTGTTTTCATTCTCATCTATCACCTTTCACTGGTGCTCCGCCAGCGTATCCCGTTAGCGCAGGCGGGGCTACCATACCATTTTCACCCAGCAAAAAAAAATTCATTACCAATAAATATTCATACATGTCTAGCTAGTTTTAAAACAAAACTTAAGGACTTTTATTTGAGCAAGTTGTCATCTTCTTAATATGTTTATGTCTGTCAAAACCGCAGATGTTTGTTCAGACAAACATCTGCGGTTTTGACGTGCTCATACTTTCTGCTTACCGTTCAAATAATTTTTTGGCGTTGAGATGATTGCAGCAGATTGAATTTTTTTTCTACACTAATATTATAAAGAGGACAGATTTGTATTTTTGTGTATATGTGTGTTTGTTTGTAATGAATAAACTCAAAAACTACATCGTCGATTTAAAAAATTCTCTCACCATTAGAAAGCTACATTCTTTTTTTTCCTTCCCCCCCCCCCCCCAATATCTATATAATAATAAACTCTTTATTGCGCACAGTAGAGATGTATACAAGGAGTATTTATACAGAATGTGCATATACCAAAGGCGGCCTTATCGCTACAAGCAATCTCTTACAGACAACTTGACTTACAGACAACCTGGATATATATATTGGAGTCTTCTGTACATTTATCATCACCCATTGCGATAAGGGGAAAGATATTGTTAGTAATGACGATTTGATGATGATGATTGAATGATGAAAGACCAAATTGTTTGTTTCTTTTTTGGCTATCAAGGTTCCCCCTGGAAGCCATCGTGGTTAATTCTTGTCAAATTCTTCACGATTGGCCAATTGGCCTACCTTCATCCCAACCTATCATATATCTAACACTGGTGCCCCGCCAGTGTATACCGATAACGCAGCCGGGGTTACCATTCCATTTTCATCCATTAAAACTGGTAGAAGAACCACTTATTTTTTTTTTAATATAACATTTAGTATTGATGTATTTAGTTACAGAGGGCCGGAATATAAAGAAGCTAGCGTTCGCCACCCTACCGGTCATCTTCCACCTGGGGATGACGTCAGCATGGACGGTCCTCACCACCATCCTGACGGCGAAGGCGGTCGCCATCGGGCTAGCACTCCTCGTGTTCAAGATAGCCGCCAGTTCGGCCAAGGTCAGTAATGAGATCAGATTACAATATTTCCTTTGTAAAACATACTTTTGTTCTATCACCAATAGTTTCCGCAGCGCACGCGACCAAAGATTTTTTTTACACCTTGAGTTACGTTACTAAAGTTTTAGTAAGAATCCCTAATCTTTTCTAGCATCTTTTCTTGATATCTGCAAAAAAAGTAAGAAAAAGAAAATTTGTTACTTTTATTAGAAGAAATCAGTTGATAAAGTCAGATTTCCTTTGCCATAAATTTGATATCTGCAAAAAAAAAAGGAAAAAAATAATTTAGTTTTAATAAAAATTAAAAACGCTAATCTTTAGCTTATCGGATATCTATTTTCAATCTCCGACTGTTATTTCGTCCACGCACATTTATCGACTACCAGAAGCTCTACAGCCTTCCATGTTAGCCTTCAATCTTCGACTGCCATTACGTCCACGCACGTTTAGCGACTACTAAATGTTATACAATAACTAGAACTAATATCCTTCATGTTAGACTTTAATCTCCGGCTGTCATTCCGTCCACGCCCGTTTTGCGACACGTATTTCACTTCTAAACGAGGCATCTATAGGCAAATTATTAGATCGCTGCTCGGAGCCTTGTGCCAACCGTTCGATTATTGTAAATCTTTTCACCTATAAAAAGCTACAGTAAAAACGGCTAACATAAATCACTATTTTTGAAAATTCTACCAACCAAATAAATACTCATTGCCGGGGGGAAAGGGATTGTTAGTAATGGAGACTAAGAATCCCATTGCTAGCAATATACCCAGCCAGGTCGATCTCCTCGCGGTTCCCCCTGGAAACTATCATGGTTAATTCCTGTTGAATTCATCATGATGTGCTAACTGGCCTGTTTTCATTCTCATCTATCACCCTTCACTGGTGCTCCGCCAGCGTATACCGTTAGCGCAGGCGGGGTTACCATTCCATTTTCACCCATAAAAAAAAAATTCATTGCCAATAAATATTCATTCATGTCTGGCTAGTTTTAAAACAAAACTTAAGGACTTTTATTTGAGCAAGTTGTCATCTTCTTAATATGTTTATGTCTGGTTTTTTGATACATGTGAACAGTATTTATATACTTTTATATATTTGTGTAGGCGTTTATATGCATGTATGTATGTGTATATGTATGTGTGTATGTATATGTTATTGTGTATGTATGTATGTGTGTGTATGTATATATATATATATATATATATATATATATATATATATATATATATATATATATATATATATATATATATATATATATAAGGTTTAATTGGTTTTCACCTTCTCAACTTATGTCGGCTTAAAAACATACCCCGTCCTGTAACCCACAGGAAAAAAGGTACGTATGCCCCAGTTTTATTTTTTTTTATGTCCGTCTTCTACCTCGCCTTCTCTTTAGAGTGTATACTGAATTTGTGAGTGATTGTGTCTTTGGTGTATGAATTGTGTTGTATGAATCTGGTGTGTTTGTTGAGTGTTGTGTGTTTGTTGAGTGTTGTGTGTTTGTTGAGTGTTGTGTGTTAGTTGCCTGTTGGATGGTTGGTGACCGGTGTGTGTCTTGAGTGTGATGATTTTGTGTGTTTTGTACAAATACGGTATCTCCCAATACTTTGCTGAGTATGCTTGATGTGTGAATGGCTGCTTGTTTTTGCAAGATTGTGATGTCAATTTTGGCATTTAGCTTATTTATGTAGTTTATAATATTTTTAGCTACTATTCCTGTTGCGATATATATATATATAATAATGAGCAGAGATAATATTTATATTATTATATGTATTACATCTCCCATATTTAAAACTAACAGAATTTTCCATCGTGCCTCCCACCAAATTGTTTATAATTACTCCTCTCCATCCAAAGGTTGGCGGGAAGAGATCACTCTTAGCGATAAGGTCGCCCATTGTTTTCTCATTGTGATTATTTCTTGTAATTGTTTATATCTATAATAAGTTTACTATTGTAATCTTTTGGAGGAAACAATAAAGAGTATGTATCTATCATTCAATCTGTACGAAGACGGATAGCTCGTTTTAAAATAAGAACACCGAGACTATTGGTCGACATTAAATTTGTCACGACCGAACACCCTGTTTTTACGGAGTGTAACTATTTAAATTTGTAATATACACCCGACCCAATAAAAAAGGAACTATCAAAATCGGACAGCCGCATAAAAAGATATGCGTGATCAAAAGATAAATTCGCCTTCACTCGAGACATTCATTTTTTCGTCGCCTCAGAAAAGGCCCACTTTGTTCGTTGTTATTGAAAAAGCAATTATCGTTTTTCTTTTTTTTTTTGTAATATTAAAAAAAAAAGTACTGCATATTCAAATTACTGAACGGTTTTGTCATTAAAATGGATAATAATGGCATATTTTGAGTGCACGCCGCAAAAAATCTAGGCTCGTCCATATTCAATATTGAAAGAAAGTAAATTATGAAAAATAAACGTGTAGTGATGCCGTAAAGATTTGGGACTGAGCACTAAGCATGAGTAATACAGATATCCATCAGTATATCTAAGCAATAAGTTGAGTTAAGTCACTGAGTTGATACCATTATGTGTCACTGTGGCACACTTGCGAAAAATTACATTTTATCTTTTATGTACTTTCTTATTTTTTTTATCTCCTTTATTAAGAGGCTTTTATCCTATAAGGATATGACAGCCTCATCGTACCCTAATTTTAAAAAATACCTCACATACTTAAAACATTTATACATAAATAAATAATACATAATAACTTAGTAGTCTATTTTCATAAAGGGAATTATTGATACAAAAATATAGTAGTTAAAGATTTTGCCATTCCGGAATGTGGCTCTGCGAGTATATTTGAAAACAAACCAATCTCCTGTCAAATTGAGACTATATATTTCTGTATCAATACTTCCCTTTGTTTTTTGTATTTCGTACATTCGGATATCATATGGTGGACATCGTCCAATGTGTTACAAACATCACAGTTCGGATTATTAACTTTTTTTTTTTCATAAGAAAAGCGAATTTTGCATTTGGATAATGTCCTGAGCGTAATCTAAGAGTTGTAACTTTCTTTTTGTTTATTTTTTTTTTAGTATATGTTTTGTTTTTTTTTCTTTGTTATGTTATGTACCAGTATCTAATGTTATTTGTGTGCTGTATTAAATTATTTATTTATCTATCTATGTATTGGTTTCCTCTGGACATAAATGGCGGGAAAAAGGTCATCACGCATTCCGACATCGTCCATATTGGTCGGATATCTATTTTCCAATATTATTTTTTAAATAACATACTTTTAATATATTCGTTATTGGAAGAGTATACTCATATAGATCAAAATGACACTTGACATATTTGGACTCGGTTATAAACAATATCGCATAAAATTGTATAAAATAATGTTATATTCAAATATTTCTTATATATTATATTTATATACAACTTAGAATGGCAAACAAGCTGACGGCCCACCTGATGGAAAGTGGTAACCGTCGCCTATAGACATGAGCAGTACCATACATAACAGAGTATACTGTTTCGCCCATGATACCCCCCCATGCGTTGCCATTCCTGAGGACTCAGGTGTTATTCCTCTGTACTGTGTAAATTCACGCCATATCCCACCCTTCAAACGGAAACACAGCCATGCAAACACAACTGCTTCACGGTTGAAACACGAATAACTGTGACTTAGTCGTCACTTTCGCTGTATTTCCAAATCAAGATCCAGAGGGAAACTTTATAAAAAAGTCATTTGCTTAGACATCTCTGTCCCATTCGTGTTTCTACCGTGAAGCAGTTGTGTTTGCATGGCTGTTTGTTTCGGTTTGAAGGGTGGGATATGGCGTGAATTTACAGAGCACAGAGGAATAACACCTGAGTCCTCAGGAATGGAATCATTCATAACTACATATTTATCACGCGAAATTGTATGAAAAAGTTGACCCACTTTTCTCGAAAAGTAATGGAGACACTCTATCTATATAATTTAAGACCGCGATATTTTCCAGGATTGCGTGAAGGTCCCATGGCTAACGGTATATTTCTAGCTAGAAATAGACCGCTAGTCCCCACTAATAATAGCTATTTCTCCAACTAAACAAATTTACATTCACTTAGTCCAGCTCTTAGTGTGACTTGCACTTAAGCAAATAAAAAAAAAAACTATTCTACATTAACTGAATATACTAGTTCAAGCGATAGTGGGTTCGATTCTCGCGTCAAGATAATTTATCATGCGTAATATCAAATACCTATAATATCCTATGTCGTGGAAAGTATATACTTACTTTAAAAGCGTCTATAATTTTTGCATACCCAAGTGTGACAATGTTACTATTTTATTATGTATTTTTAAAAAATTGCTAACTACACTGTAAGTAATTTATAAATAAATAAATATTTACTTATTTATATGTTTTTGTACATTTACTTATAGTATAAATATTAGGTTATAACAAAACTGTACACAAGCGGACTTATCCCTTAAAGGGTTTCTTTTTTGATGGGTGAAAATGGTATGGCAACCCCGCCTGCGCTAACGGGATACGCTGGCGGAGCACCAATGAAGGGTGATAGATGAGAATGAAAACAGGCCAGTTAGCCCATCATGATGAATTCATCAGGAATTAACCATGATAGTTTCCAGAGAGAACCGCGAGGAGGTCGGCCTGGTTGGGTATATTGCTAGCAATGAGATTCTCAGTCTCCATTACTAACAATCCCTTCCCCCCTTGTCTTGGGTGACTGGAAGAAACCCCTTGAAAGGGGTTTCTTCCAGTCAACGTTGAGAACTCGAAAGGGGAAAATGTCCATAGGGTTTGTATATAAAGCATAACATGTATGGTGCAAAAATATGCTTTAATAATAAATTATTAGTAGTTATATAATTAGTAACAAAGTATAAATAAATAAAATTATAAATATATATGCAACTTAGAATGACAAACAAGCTGACGGCCCACCTGATGGAAAGCAGTAACCGTCACCTATAGACGTGA